TATTATTTTTATTTACTTTTTCCTTAGAAAAAATTATGTGAAATTAGGTACCTTAAATTTGATATTTCATTTCTTGCTATTTTCAATTGAGACTTGATTTTCTCAATTTCTGCTTCACACATTATTTCTCTTATAAAATTTACTTTTTCTTTAATAAATTGAGTGAGGAAACTTGATTTAAAAGTTTCACCTTTCTCTTTCTCGGAATACAAAAGGTCGTCCAGAATTAACTTTAATTAAAAATTATATATAAATTACGATAAGAAGTTTGATTTCCCGAAAGTAAACAGAACAGGGTGTCAAGCTACTGCATTTGATTACAGCCGCGTACAAGTACGTGCTTTGACGTAATTTCTCATGAATATCTCGGAAATGTGTTACTTAATTTGAAATGTGTAGATGCCAGTCGACAAAGGAGATAAAAAATTATAAAACGATGAAGTAAGGAGTTAAGGGAAAACTTGCAACATCCTTTATGAATTTGCCTGTTTCAGTTGACTACAGAAACAGGGTGATCACAAATAACATAAAGTAAAAAACCAATGTTCCATTTTCCATTCGTTCCGTTAAGGTTTCACTCAACATAATCATTGAAGTCTAAAATTTTCGCGGTTCTTTCATGCCATTTTCAATTTTATTTTAACCAGATTCTCCGTATTTAGGACTATTTTTAAGAATGCTTTCACATCGACTCATAAGTTCTCATTTCAATGTTTTGAAGTCTGTTTAGTAATTTTATTAAATAATTATTGGTGAGTGACCAACGATTTCTTATCATAACAATTTTAATTATTAGGTAATTTGTAATTTGATTTGAATGACTTTGTAAAGAAACCAAGATGTACAGTCGAATACCTTTATTAACTTAATAATGATTAGGATATTAAGAAATTACACAAGATATTATTTTACATTATCCAAATAAAATTTGTCGCTTTTATTTTTATGATCAAAGTTACATATGATCTTTGTTTTATTTTTCTCATTAAATGTTTGACATAACACATAAACAAAAATATGAACATTTATATTTATCAATACAATTGACTAGAATAATTTTGGAGATGGAAAAACTAATGGAGTCTGATATCCTTTTTTTGTCACTTTTCTTCTTTTGGTATTTTAGTGATGGATTAAGATTTCACCTAAATCATGAAAAGAGAAATAATAAACTTAAAAATCAAGCTATAATAAATAAATAATTACCTTTATGATGCTTTGGCCACATGCATTCACAACCAAATGGAATGACTCTTGTTTCTACTTTCCAGCAATCGGTTCCAAAAGCACGTCGGGTTAAAAATATGGTTCTATTGCGTTGAATGCAACTGTAACCGTCTTTTTCACAGACTTTATTGCGTTGATGCATAAATTCACTTCTTCCATATGGATATGAGCCTTAATTAGAAATAGAAATTAAATGAATTAGATATTAATAAATCTACCTATTAAGGCTTGTAGCATTTATTTCACTTGTTTTTCCTTACATTTCACTTCTTCGTAAGAGGATGGTCGGTATTCATATTCAGAGTCATTGTCTAAGAATACATCAGTTTTTCTTGTTGGGCAAAGTGATTGAAAATGCGCTACCTCCATGCTAGGGTGACGAACAACTTTCAAGCCACCATTCTGAGGATCCGTTTCAGCTTCAAAGTCATCTACATACACATCTTGGAATTGAATGTCAGGTGCTGGTTGATCACTTTGCTCAAAATAATTTGGAGACTGCTCCATTGATGGCTGCATATTTTCAAACCATTCGCTCGGTGGACGAAATCTAAGTTTTTTTCTTTGTTCTACAAATTTTTGGCCAATCACGATACTTATGATTGCAAGGAATATAAAAAATATCTGAAAATTCAAAGAAAAATAATAATAAAAATTTAGAAGCTATAAAAATCATGAGATTCATTGCATTAAAAGGCTACTAGAGATTGTATTATTCAAAGTTACTTCAAAACTCAAGCACTTTTTCGATTATAAGTACTCGAATTGATTAGTTAATAACTTGACAAATTTATTATCTAGACTAAAACGTGAATAATGATAATAATAATATTTTTTATTTTAATTCTTTTTTCTCAATTGTTTTCAAGTAAGTTTTGAATATATGCAGCAAATGATAAGAAGTGATAAGAATCTTAACTTTTGTTTCGAGTATTAGAATTGAATTTAACTTTTAAAGCTCATTGAGCAGAATATTTAAGGAATGTAATTATCAGAAAAATCACAAAACTGATAACTAATGAAATTGCTTAAAGTAAATATCGATGTCAGTCATTCTCAATTGAAATTTATAAAGAATTTTCATTATTAATGTCTAGATACTTAGTGGATTCTCTGAAACAGCGTCAATGTTCTTAAAAATTTAAAGGTAATGACGATTCTAAAACTTCAAAGCAATATCCAATATCTCATATTTTATGAACATACGTAAACATTTAATTACAAAACTTATTGATGACGTGGAAGAATCAACAAAGTATTTTAAGTGGCCTATGTGATTCCCCGCCAAACATTCCGCATTGATAAGATTTATTAGTAATTAAGTGACGAGGAATATTTATAGATTACACTTCATTTTCACGGTAATATTATTTTGATATTACTAATCGAGGAACTCAAGCTATTTATGGTTTAGGTAAAAAAGCTTCATAAACTGCACTAATCATTATCTAATGCTATTGTGAATGTTTTTCAATCTATTACGTTTTGTTTATTTAATTATATATTACATACTGATTTTCCTTTGTTAAATAAAATTAATTTTATTTGAATTTTGATTAAATCTTGAAAATAAACGTTTTTAAATTGCAATTGGGTTCCATTAATAATAAATAAATATTCTAAAAATTAAATAATTTCCCAACAATTTGATTAACTTGACGGTATTTAAAATCATCAATATTGTGACATTATATTTAATCATTATCACATATTGCACAATCAAATTATAGATATTGAAAATTGCTTCAATGTTCTTACATAACTAATTGCACTCTTTTTTAATTTAAATAAATTAATAAATAATTAATTTTCTTTCTCACCGAATATCTATAGTTTTCCATTGTTTTATCCTCTACAACAAAATTATCTTCAAGTTTAACTCCACAAGTTCACGTTATAGATGTATTGTAAAATTATGTCTTAAATTTATTTTGACGATTTTCACTTCCTTTTCAAATAATAAATTAAATTAAATTCTAGAGTACTTCAATAATTTCTAGTTAATGAAGTGTTAAGTTATATCGTTGAATTACTAAAAACGACTGGTTCAACCAGGTGTTGAATCGCTCTTATATATTTTTTTATCATCAAAGATAGTCTACAAAAAACCTTTTGATGGATAAAAATCATTCCAAAACACAAACGTTGTTGTATTCCTACGTAAGTGATTATTTTATTTCTAAGTGTGAAATCTGGTTAATTACAGTCAATTGCATTGCGCGAAAAAAAAATCCCTCCTCGCCATAGTGATAAGACTGATGTTGATAGGGATTTATCAACCCACGAATTAGATTAGTAGAGCACAAGTCTCAATGTTTTTCCAACAAGGGTTATGCTTTTGATTGTTAATTAACAATTATTGTTATCGATCATAATTTTCGGTTTTGAATATTGAGTATTTTGTTACTTTTACTGATATGACTATGATCGATTGTGATTTATTGTAGATTTTCATGTGAGAATATGTAGAAGGATATCCTGTTTATTCGTAGATACATCAAATTTGTTCTTTTATTATATAAAGTTTTATTATTAATTATAAAATTATACTAATTCCTTATATCAATTTATTGAGATTTTTGGAATTGTTTTCAAAAATATGGAAAATGGTGATGCGCAATTTCATTTCAAACAAAGGAAAGATAATTTCATTCAACTTTCATAAAAGGGAGTTTAGATTTTTCTTCCTGGTGTTTTGAAAATCATAAAAACTTTCAATTTAAATCTCTTGAAAATGCACAGAAATTTAAGTAAAACATGTTCAAAGAAAGAATTTCTATCAAACACGCAGTTATCCTGATGAACATTGATTATTTTTCCCACGCGACGCACTGTATAAAATATGTTTAAAATGTACCAACTATTTAGAAGCCTATTTCGAAGTTACAATAGTGAGTATTGTTTAAAATTACACTTCTTATCCAACTGTAGTATTCGAATAGTCTATTAATCATTTGCGAAACAATTTTCCTCGAAGCATTATTTTTTTCAATATCACGATTATTTGTCAGTAAAGCATGAAGATTCTTCTCTGATTTCCAGAACTCAACTAACTATTCATTTCATGACACGATAAGTACACTGAACCGTAATTTTATAAAATGTTTTGAATACAGTGCAACATGAGATGTAAAATTATGCACGGATAATCATTTAAACATCATGAAATGATCGTTATGAATTTTGATTTGCGACCAAATCACTGGTTAGCGATACATGGAATGCATGCGTCTTTAAAGCAAAGGATAAAAACGTTTTCAGATTTCTTCACCAATTAATTCTATAGCGTCGAGAACGGATAAGCATCATCAACAAAATTGCTTATCGATATTTAATTGAATTTTTGGTTAAATCACAAATAAAATTCTGGAGTGGAATATGAAGGAAGTTAATAAGATTCTTTTTGGAGTCAAAAATGAGTAAAAATTTTACGCAAAATTGAACTTTTTTTGTAATATTTCACATCGATCTAACACAAAGTTTGTGTGCTTCTTAAATATTAAACTTATGACAATAGCATTAAAAAAAATTACAAAACAGTGCATCGGCGCTTAATCCCGCGTACATCTTCAAAAATGTTAATCATTTATCTAAGGAATTTGTCAAGAACTTTTCAAACTCGGTAAGAAATTCCATTGACCCCACATGAATATTCTTAAAATGAAATTCATCAGAGAACTTTGCAAACTCTTTTAAAAAATTACTGAAATAGAAACGATTGTGTAAGATTCATTTACTTTTGTGTTGCTTTCGGATTGTTGTTTCAAGCATTCTGTATAAAATAGCACCTACCCATAACCATATCGCACAAGACAGATTTAATAAGGTGCACCGAAGTATGACTTTTCAGCAAGTAAAAGCATTGCCCTGCGTGATTTAACTGTTTGTCTACTAACTCTCAAGACAGTGATCAGACAACACAAGAATTCATTTGATAGCACACATAAAAAAGAGTTTTTGCTGCTTTCATTCGGTGGAAATAAATATTTTCTTTTACAAAGCTTTAATTTCTTTTTCACCAGTTTAATAATGATTCAAAGACGTGTACGTTGTTGAGAAGCCATGATTTTCCATTCTTCGCACAACAATCTGATTTGGCATTTGTTGGTTGAATCTAAGAAAGAGAGAAAGTCATTTATTTGCTTATTTGAAAAAATTACTTTTCAAAGAAATATTGATCAGTTTACGTGTGCTTAATACATAAATAAGTGGACAATTACAGGGCTTTGTGCCTTCCTTAAAAGAATTAATCAAAAAAATTTAACGAAGTTGCAGTGTATCAAAGTAAAAATATGAATGAAAGTAAAATATTGAAGATTAAGTTTCAATTATTTAGTGTACGAATTCTATGAAAAAATGTATGAAATTCTAATTTCAATCTAAAAGAAATCGGAGTATAAACAAAATTAATCTTGACTTAAATAATAAATAATATCAAAAAATAACTCCAAGGGTTGAAATATTTTGATTTTACTAATTATGCTTTCGAGATTTTGCAAGAATTCGATATTTCCATGTAAGTAATAAATTATGAAGTTTTTAATCATATCTAAAGCTTAATTTGCATATGTACATATTGATATAACAAACAAATAATGTTCCTACCTCAAGTTCAATGTCTATCACTGTTCTATTCTGAAATTGTCGTGAATTATTGCTCACTTTAACGAAGATTAACCAAATTATGAAATTAGTTTAAATTCTTAATAAATAACTGGATATGTAAAACTTAGCACACATCTCCCAAGGAAATAAAAATTAATCCCTTGATTATTTTACATAATTTTATCACTGATTCTGTTTTTGATTTCATAGAAAACAAGCCTATCGTATTTATTGATCATGATATAAAATTATATTACGAGTCATGGATTTAAAATTGCTAAAAACAATTAAATATAAATAATGTTCTTCTAGAACGGTAGGATCCTCAATTAATATAAAGTTTAAGATATGATATCTTTATGATTTCTGCTATAAAGAAGCATTTCAAGAATCTTTTATTTGAATCAAAAGTTAATAATAATAAACTTTGCTTATCAAGAGAATAAACGAAAAAAAAGCTACGACGCCAAACCCACTTAAAACCCAACTCTTCATTCCTTGATTTCTGTTCATAACAATGTGAAAGATAATTAAATAAATTAAAAACGTCATTTTTACAAAAAGCAGAAACAAAAACGAGAAAAGAAAGAAATATGTAGAAAAATGGTTTTGATTAAATGAAAAGAAAGAAAAAGTATTTTGCCATAAATATCTTGGTATCATTAACAAGAATCTTTTCAGAGTGTGGAATGGCTCGCTTCATGAATTTCGTTGGTTATTATGGGTTATAAAATTATATGCTTTACGGATTTTCGAGCAATGCGTTATATGTATAAATATTCGTTACCTATTGACCTCTGACAAGACTCTTCGAAAACGTCCGAAAAATTTACTCTTATAAAACAGCTAAAATGGTTATGAGAAGAAAATTGCGGCTTGAAAGTTAATTCTATAAATCTCATATAAAATGGTAAAATTATTGCGATTTTATAACTATCTGAATAGCTTTTAGATTTTTATTGTAGATTTAGATCTTTAAACTTAATTTATTTAGATGATTTTAAGAATGAGAAAAGTTTGATGATTCAACTTAAGTTCTAAAAAATATCATAGGTTTGAATTTCAGACATAGATGTATAAAATAATGTAATCATATACAACCATATATGTATCGTGAGACTACAGTTGAATTTTCAATCTTTAACAGACCATGACCTCACTTAAAATCCATTTCATTTTAACATTGCTGTTTTCTTTTGATATTTTTGTTTTATTATACTTTATGGCTCTTCCTTGACGATCAATTTCAAGAAGATTTCACATAAATGCAGGGAAGATTAAAATCTTCATGTGAAATATGCTGAAGTATAATTAAGTTTTTTTGTGTAGCATAAATTAAGAATTCCCAGTAGAAATTTTTAACACATACACACATACAGATGAATAAACTTTGTTACCTAATTAGATATGTGGAACTGCAAAAAAATAGATTTAAATTCAGCAATATCTACATCATCAACATTCATCTATTTGTGTTAAATTAAAGAAAGATGAAAACAATTATTATGAAAGCATTCCTCAAATTTTAAAGTTTTAATAAAGGTTTTGGTAGCTTCAGTGCGTGAAAGCTGAGAACTGTTTAATTAAATTTTATTTAGTAGTATGAGGTAATATAAAAATGAATAAATCATTTCCTATTTAAATTAAAAGATATAGTTTCTTAATACGATGATTTTTCCATATCTTACTTAAAAAATTTTTCCTTACATTCGAAACATGTCATCAAACGTCATTTCGAAATAAGGAAAGGATAAATTTAAGCTTTGTTTTTCGGGGCCATGAATTGCCAATTACTTAGTAGATATAATATTATTTATGACTGATAATGTCATACCTTCAATGAAACATTATTGAAAAACCTTAAGCGCAACTGAATTTCATTGTAACTTAATTAGAACAATCAATCAAAAGTATTTTTATTACTTCACTTTTCAAGATATTTATCAAACACTAAAGCATTTCATTTCCAGGTGTTAACTACTTGGTTTATTATAAAGTCTAAAGTGAACTTTCAGCTTTTAGGAAAAGTCCTAAGCGAAAGTTTATGCCAGTATTTTCCTCAATCCATTTAATATAATACGAAACACTAGTAAAGACTCCGGGATACGGTGGAACAGTGCAAGGTCTTCGTGACCAGGAAACAATCCCAACTTGAACACCATCAACTAATAGTGGTCCACCAGAATCTCCCGAACATTGTCCTCTCCAACCTTCTGGTATACCACCACAAATGTTCGTGTAGCGAACTGGGTCTGTATGCAACTGATTACAATCAAAAGCAGAAAACACTTGTAGATTCGCCTTTTGCAAAAAAGTCATTGGAGGTCCACCAGTAACATTAGTGCCCCATCCTGCAAGAACTGCGGGCGTCCCGGTCGTAAAATATGATCCACGAACTGGCAATTTAACATATCCATTGCTTAGCGGATTTATTAGTGGTTCCTTTAATTTTAATACCGCTATGTCATTGATCAATTGGTTAGTTAAGTTATAAGCCTCGTGAATTATTTTCGATTCAACTTGAATGACATTTGACCCATCACTGCTTATCATAGTGTTAGCAAATTGAACTGTATAGTTCTCAACGGGCGCAATTACGCAATGTGCAGCCTACGTCATAATTATTTTTGCTTAAGAATGTTTTAATCTTTAAATACTTTACTTACGGTCAGTATCCACCATTCATTGAGAATTGTCGAACCACATGCATGCTCCCCATTCCTTCTTAAAGAAGCTACAAATCCAAATTCAGAAATGTCCGCATTTGTTCCATTAATAACTTTTGGTTCTAAATTTGCAAAAGCTGAAACGATTAAACTAAAAACTAAAATTCCAATTTTAATATCCATGATGAAGCTTGAATGAACACAATTAAACTAAATGTTCAAGCAACTGAATTTACCTTTTAAATTATTTATTATCAAATTTAATCAATATAAAGCGAATTAAGTTTATCTGAGGTACTATAATTTATTTGGGGTTTATTTATGAAAATTTAGAGATATTTGATATTTTATCAAAGTTGTTATAAGAAAAAAATATCCTTCAGAAAGAAGTTACTGCTGAATCATCAAAGGATTTTTCTTCTTAATTTTAGGTATACAGTGAGTTCTCGTTATAACATGCTCTGAAGGGACTGGAAAAATGGATGTTATAAGGAGAAGTTTTGTTCCAGATTTCAAGCGAGAAGTGTATGTTATAACGAGAGTTTACTGTACCTTGAAGAAACATGTTTGAAAAACCTTTAGCACAACTGAATTCAGTTTAACTTAATTAGAACAATCAATCAAAAGTATTTTTATTACTTCACTTTTCAAGATATTTATCAAACACAAAAGCATTTCATTTCCAGGTGGTAACTACTTGGTTTTTTTTTATAAAGTCTAAAGTGAACTTTCAGCTTTTAGGAAAAATCCTAAGCGAAAGTTTATGCCAGTATTTTCCTCAATCCATTTAATATAATGCGAAACACCAGTATACACTCCGGGATACGGTGGAGCAGTGCAAGGTCTTCGTGACCAGGAAACAATCCCAACTTGAACACCATCAACTAATAGTGGTCCACCAGAATCTCCTGAACATTGTCCTCTCCAGCCTTCTGGTATACCACCACAAATGTTCGTGTAATGAACTGTGCTTGGATGCAACTGATTACAATCAAAAGCAGAAAACACTTGGAGATCCGCTTTTTGCAAGAAAGGCAATGTAGGTCCACCAGTAACATTAGTGCCCCATCCTGCAAGGACTGCAGGTGTCCCGGTAGTAAAGTAAGATCCACTAACTGGCAATTTAACATATCCATTGCTCAATGGATTTTTAAGTGGTTCCTTTAATTTTAATAACGCTATGTCATTGATCCATGTATTAGATGAATTGTAACCCTCATGCGGAATTTTCGTTTCAACTTGAATGACATTTGACCCACCACTGCTTATCATAGTGTTAGCAAATTGAACTGTATAGTTCTCAGCGGGCGCAGTTACACAATGTGCAGCCTACATTTTTTTTATATGGCACAACACATCATAATTATTTTTTCTTAATGATGTTTTAATCTTAAAAACTTTACTTACGGTCAGTATCCACCATTCATTGAGAATTGTCGAACCACATGAATGACCGCCATTCCGTCTTAAAGAAGCTAAAAATCCAAATTCAGAAATGTCTGCATTTGTTCCATTGATAACTTTTGATTCTAAATTTGCAAAAGTTGAACCGACTAAACTCAAAACTAAAATTCCAATTTTAATATCCATGATGAAGCTTGAATGAACACAATTAAACTAAATGTTCAAGAAACTGAATTTCCCTTTTAAATTATTTGTTATCAAATTTAATCAATAAAAACGAATTAAGTTTATCTGAGTAGAATTAAAAGATTTTGAATGTTATGATTAATATAAGTTACTGTAATTTATTTGGGGTATTGTTCAAGAGAACCTGGAGATATCTGACTTCGTTTAACCAATTTTTTTTAGAATCATTTTATATAAATGAAATGAAATGAAATCGTTATCAAGAGTGTGCATCGTATATGCACAAATATTTTATCAAAGTTCTTATTAAGAAAAGTTTGGATCAGAAGTTTTTAATTATCTAATAGATAGGTAAAAGCAAAAATGTATTTAATTAAAATGAGATTTTATCAGAAAAAATATCCTTCATATAGAAGTTACTGATGAATCATCAAACAATTTTTCTTCTTAATTTTAGAGATTTAATCAGCGGCTTTTGTTTGATTATCTTGAAAAAAGAAATTAGGTTAAACCTCACTGAATTTTTCCAACATTCATGTACCATTTATGTAGATGGATCAAGACCTCGATTTTCACTTATTAAAAAGTGTAGCTGTAGAGCTTCGAGATTCAAAAGAATTTATTTAATAGCAACATCAATAATAATGCCTTAAAGTCACGCACTCACGATCAAACTATTAAAGATATTCAACGGTTACGAATGTTGAAAATGTTTGCTTAAAAAGTTTTGAATGGCTTGTTACATTATATTGAAATGATGCCTTTCAAGTTGCTTTAATCTCGCAATTGCTTTTGTGAATTACTTGTTTTTACATTATTATGAGCATATCAGATTCATTTCGTGCTACTCTTATTAGTGATGGGTTTGGCGTGAGATTCTTCTGGAAATTCCATTTCTTACTTGAAAGCCATTAAAATGTTCTTGAAGCTTATGTTACATTCGATGTATAATTTTAAACGAAGTTCTTTTTTTTCAGAAGTTTTATCATCGAATTTTGATTAAGAACGTTAATTTTGTTTTGTTTCACAGTGCCTATCGAAAAAATAAAACGAGAAAAGACACAAAAATTTCAAGAAAACATGAAAGCAGCCATAAAAGTGTCTACAAAATATGCCACTATTCCTTGTGTCCATCTCAACTCGTTTGAGACAAAAAGCATAAAATGTTTAGAAATTCCTTTTGAACAATGATCGAAGATATGAATAAATCATTCGATTTGGTCTTTTTACTTTTTCTTCTCCCTTTTCAATCTCAATTTACGTTGAATGTTGACTCTTTATAATGTTATCTGAATTTTCTTAAATATTTTTCATTATCAGCATAAAGTAACTTCTTGAATGATTTGAATGTTTTGAATCTAAAGATTTAAATATATTATGACTAAATAAACCAATCCAAAGACGAGGTTTCAAATTGAAAAATATCTTATTGCTAACTTTCGTTTTCTATTGTTTCTGTTGCGCAATATTTTCAAAACGCTACTAATTTTGTAAACCAAATATCAATCTCAATTTGATTATGATTGTATTGAATCTCATTTAAACTATCCTAATGATTATTTTTGGGATCAGATTTATCTTGAGCAGTCATAGGACATAAAATCATAATCTTATGAACTTTATTACAAATATTTATAACAACAAACTGAGTCATTTTTAGCAAAGTTTTTTTTCATCTTTTCCATCTTCATGTTGTTTTTGTTTAAAATATCAAATAAGTTTCAAATCATAAATTTCGTAATCGTAGAGACAAATCTAAATTAAATATTAAAAACCGGAATGAAATAATGTTTTGACGTTGTAGATTATCTCAGACTTTAATTTTCATTTACACTTTTCTTTTACATTTTTATCAGATCAATTTTAACTTGGTGAATGTATTCCGGCTAAAGCAAAAATATTTATATATTCATTAATATTTAATATAGATGTAGATAACGAATGAAAGAATCAATAATTTTTAAACTTTATATGCCTAAATGTCTTAAATATTTGCCAAGATTTTTTTTAACCATGAAGATCATAAATTTTCCTTTCAGAGCAATTGAAGGAAAGTTTTGTTTTTCATTTGAAGCCAGTTGAAGTATAAATTATGAACCTGCAATATTTATTCAATCTGATATTATCTAACATATTTATTAAGATTCCTTTTGCATGTTTCTATTTCTAATATTGAAATACTAAAGCTTCTCTCTTCTTCGATTCAAAGATCGGATTTTTATTCTATCGCTAACTTTGCTGTCTGTGATTTCTCCGAAAGAGATTTGTTTAAGTTTTCTTTCTTCATTTCTCGTCTCCGCTTCATTCGCTGTTCATCAATTTTTCGTTGATCTTAAGTAAAAAAAGATACTTCACCTTCAGTATCAGTATTTCAGTGCACCTGAACAGACGTTCGGAAGAAAATAACATGAATAAAAAAATAAAGAAACATAATTCGAGACCTTGACTTAAACAATTTAATTTGATTTAAAAAAGAAACATTCCAGAAGAGATTCTATAAGTTTTTTTTCTTTTGATGTCGCTACGGTTAAATGAATTTGTTTGCTTGTTGAAAAGTATTAACAAAAAATAAAGCATCATTTCATTAACCGCGTTTGAGATGAAACCACGTGAACAAGAACAAGAATAGTAAAGAGTGTGATTAGTGAATAGAAAAAAATATAAACACCGAATATCAGTTTCTTTGAATATTGGAATTTCTTAGGAATTTGATGGATAATTGAGTGAAGAGTTTGTTGTTGTTTTGCTATAAAGGTTGTTTTTCTCATCTTGTTTCTTGTGACTCTAATCCAGAACAAAAGTTTGAAGGTCGAAGGTTTACTTATGCTTTCTTGGAATTGCAGAACAAAGGGGAATTTTAAAAAATAAATAGATTATGTTAAATATATTAAAAAAATGTTTCTAATTTAAAGGAAATTTTTGTCAAAGATTAAACATTTATTAAGGTAAATGAACTTTACAATAATTTATTATAATTTATTTGTACAAGATATATGGTTTTCTCAGTATTCATGTGAATATCAACTAACAAACCTACTAACCGATTACTATTTAAAAAGTACAATCATAACTTTCAAAAACCCTAATTTGAACTATTTTCTTACTTTCAATTACGTCGCTACTGAAGAGATTTGATCGAAAGTGATTTGCTAATTTTTCGTCAATAATTTCTTTTCAACTCTTCTGTTTACCTAAAAATTTACAACATGAATTTAACACTTATTAACAGAATACCTAAACATTAATCAATTATTTTATGCAAGTTATTAAATAACAAATTTTATTGTCTTGAAATTGATATTATACGATTGGCTATCTTTTGCGTAAGAAATCGTATACGTAGAAAGTTTCTCGTGAAAACTTTAAATTCAATAGTTGAATACATTTATATTTAATTCACAAACTCAACAGTGACATATCTTAATAAGTAGATAAAATTAATCAAATTCACGATTGGCTTTTAAAAGATAATAACCAATAAAATAAAAATTATATTTTAATCTTTGGAGTCTTTTTACAATTTCTCGGCCGCAAGCATTTAAAAGAGAATAAATATCACCACCATAATCACCACAGTAAACAAATTCCTGATTTTAATGATTATTGCCGCTTTTTGCGATAACATCATTTTTAATTTTATTTTTCGTTATGCGATATTAACACTAAAGCAAGTTAAGATGAAAGTAATGGACATCAACTGTCAAGAATTAATATTAAAATTCATTAAATTTGGTAATTTACGTTTTAAGCTGCATTTAAAGAGTAAAACACTATAACCTTCCTTACAATATGAGCATAAAAGTCTTTTTTTTCTAAATAATATTTTAAATATTTGTCTCCCTTAAAATATTTTTAAAAGAATGTGCATGAATTGAATTAAAAACGAGATGCGTGATATTTAAATAATTTAAATACTTTTAATACTTCAATTTTCAATACTTTTATAGAGATGGTGACAGTCTCGTAAAAAGGAACTTAATTAGAATTTTATTCATAAAACATTGTAGAATGAAACCTTCGAAGAACGTAACCACCTTCACTGCTCATAATATTCAATGTTTAAAGCTAGCCAACAAGTTTGAATATCTTAGATTGATGAAGTTACATAAATATGAGTAATTTCAAAGAATTCATAAATGGATTACTAAGGAAATTGAAAATTAATCTTATATCTCAAGCAATGAAGATATAATTTCAATTCAAAATTTACTCAGAAATAGTTTTAATTTAACCCAATCAATTTTAATGTTCAATGGTTAACGCTACGGAATTAAAGTTATGTGAAAAATCATTTGTAAAATTTTCAATCACAATTGAAGTTACAGCATCAACAAATTTTCATTCGAAGAAAAGTAGAAGAAAATCAAAACGTCATGATATATAAATTATTATAAGAGGAGAGGCACGAGATCAAAAAAATAAAAAAAACTAAACAGATTAACGTTCATAAAGTATAAAAGAAAATGTGCGAGAAACGGAGCCTTAGGAAGCAATTATGAATTATGTAACTTTTGAAAGAAGTAAATCTTTCTCTTGAGTAATTTGATGTTTTCCTCTTCTAGAGTATTAAAGAATAATTTCTTGAAACTGCAAAGCAATATTGAAACTGTATAAAGTTTACGTTCAATAGCATAATTTTAATCAACTGACGCCCTTTTATTGAAGTTTTTCCGATATTGTTCATTATAGAAATTGATTGAAATAATTAATTCCATTAAATTACGTACTTACAGGAAAGAATCTTATTGAAGCCGAAACATATGAATTTTAAACACGTGTTTCATGTCAAGCCTAAAAAGAAGTTAAAAATATTCTCATAAAATATTTATTGAGAACTTCAGTAAAGTATTCTTAAATAAAAACTTTTTAATAACAAAATGTCCTAATACATATATGAAAATATTATCGTTTTTAAGTCAAAACTTCAATTGTATTTATTACAATTTATAAATGAAACAAGAAATATTGAAAGAAAATTTATTCGAATCATAAAAAAACATGAAATTAACTTGAAAATGGAATAATCGAGAATAACAGATAAAACGGATTAAATCGATTAAATCTTAACTGCGCTCTCGATTCTCGAGCAAAGCTTGGATATTCTTTACAATGTTGCAAAAACATATCAACTTCTTACGGCTACTTACGAATGTTCCGTAAATTTCAATCAATTCAACCACATGTTGAGCGTCGAGTTAACTGAATTCGTTGCTGATCGATTTTTGCGTTCTTTTGAAACATGAATAAAGAAAATTTCCGAGTAAAAATATTTTTCTTATTAACAAAAAATCATTTGGTTTAAAAATATTTAATGCTTTTCTTTGATTATTTGTACTGTTTGAACAAAAATATATTTAGGTACACACATACATGGTAAAAATTCATTAAAATATTGTTTAAAAAATAAAACATGTGAGACTTGTCTAATATTTAAGACTATCGAGGTTCATCATCTTATTATGATAATGAACGAAGAGCTAAACAAGTAACATTTCATACTGGAATTAATTGACTAAATGTGATACGAAAACAGCAGTTGAACACATTTTACATACTTTTAATGACCTTGAATTACTAACAAATTTTTCTGAAAAAATATGACGATTAAAATAATAAGAATTAAATTAATCAAAGCTAAACTTTGATTCTATGTATAAATTTTCTATTTCTTATAAATATGTACACATATAGGACAAGCATCCATTTCTACGCAGTAAAACATAATGAAATCTCTAAAACTCTTTTTGAATACTTACACTTTAAAGTCTAATGATACAAACCATGTGAGGAACATTTGGAAACATAAAAACTAATTAAAAATTCAAATGAATGAAAGAAACAAAAGTGATTCTATTTCTACCAACAGTGAGTACTACTGGCTAGGTTGATTTATTAATGAATGTTTCACACCATCTTGTATTTCTTTTTTTGATCGCATCAAAAGAAAAAACTTCGATTTCGGTTTTATTTCTGATTATTGGAAAGTTGCAATAATGTTACGAAGTGACGAATAAGTTCCTGAAACCAGTCCAATCATTGCAAATATTATGAGTCCAATGTCTTTCCACATGACCCAATTAAGTTTTCCAAGTTTATCCGGATACAACACACACAATTCCATGAGAGCAGGGAAGGCAAGTCCAAGAATGCTTAAACAAAAAGCTCCAAAAAGTGAAATGAAAAGTCCCAATTCAGGCACTGCGGCAGCAACCATGAACGTGAAAATCGTTATAACGATTCTGAGAATGAGTTGATATCTTGTACTGTGTCGTGAGCTTTTAACTTTTTCACTAACGTAGTTATCCCAAATAATCGAGATAGGAACATAACATTGAAGTCCATACGAGATAAAAATGGCAAAAGTGAAAAGTCCTCGAGTGATATCAGGAATCCTAAAAAGAAATTATCATAATTTGGTTTTATTATGAATTGAAAAATAAAAGCTAAACTCACAATCCCTTTGGAATGTTTAATGATATGCTGTCTTTCGAATCTGCACCATATTTAAGATAACCGAAGAATCCAACAAATCCATACATGATTGTAACTAATGTCATTCCAACATTTAAAACTCCAAATCTACTTCCGAAGCTTTTTGGTGTTTTCATATTATTCTCCAAAGCAATGACAACACCAACAGCTTCAAGTGCGAACAAAACAGTTCCGAAATAAAGTGGAAATTTTTCAATAGGTCCAAACATTGGACGTTCCGAAAGTGGTGGCAAATCTTGAAACACGTAATAGAGAACGACTCCCAATCCAATGAAAGTGACAATGTTTGCTGAAAAAAAACAAAATTCAACGTTTAGAATGCTTTCAATTATCACAATGAAAATGTCAAACTCACCTAACGTTGATAACGGTGCCAAAACTTTGAGATTTCTAAGCAGATTAATGCCCAGAAGAGGTAAGAACATGAATAACATGACTTTAGTTAAAGATATCTCAACTCCATAAGAGTGAAGAATCTGCAAAAATGAATTGAAAATGAGGCAAATCTCATAAATTTAATTAATTGAAAACTTACATCTTCAACATTTTTTGCAACGAATACGAGATAGCAAATACAAACACCGAGTTGATAAATGATAAGAAAACCGTCAGTGATAGGAACAGCTGCTGGTGATATCCATTTTACAGCGCGGGGACCTTGTTGAAGTGCAAGTTTCATGCTTTGGGGATATGAGAGAAGCGGTACCCGATACTGCTTGCACAAGATGTATTGAGTTCTTACGAGAATGTGGAAACAGTATGTACAAATAAATCCGATAATTGCCATGTTGACTACGCCACTCAGCCAGCCACTGTTGTGAAATGCTTCATGCATAGCTAATATTCCAGTTCCTAAACATCCCTTCAACAGATGTGCAAGTGATTCAAAGTTTCTGTGAGGAAAAAACAAATTTGATTTTCTCTTCTCTCCATCATGAATGAATGAGAGTTGAAAAAATGTTTTACTCACGAAGTCGGATGTGGCACCTTACGATATAAATGTGGATCGTAATCGTCATCGGGTTCTCCACCGACTTCTTTAACTTCACCTTTACTGCCGTTTCGTGGCATCAAAGCCATTGCCCTCTCAAGCTCTTCATCTCTGTTTTGAATAAACGGAAGCGTGGTTAGTCAAACATAAAAAAAAATGACCACGAAACTCTAAAATAAATGATTTTTATGTTATTGTAAGATCATATTTACTTCTGAGGCTTCACTGACTCCATTGCTTATCAGTTGTAAGATTCGTTATTTGCGCAATCGATATTTAAACTTCTGTAAGCTGACGCCACAATTTTCATGAAATTAAAAAAAACAAACACACAAATCAACACAATTTTAGTTCTTTTTTTTCTTGTAAAACAACTCGAGAAGACTGAAATGAATATTTTTTCATGCGATTTTGCTTTCTCTCTTCCGACTGCTACGTTAAACTTTTCGGCGCAAACTAAATGGATGTAGGCATATCGTTTCTCAGAGAATTTAGAAAGGATAAGAACGTACAATATTTTTGTTGTTGCACTTCGCGGCCCTTTTATAAAACGTATTTATTGTAACTGCGAAAAGACTTGCGTAGTTGAAAATTCAGCGACAGAGTATGAGGCTCTTCGAAATGCTCACTCCGACTGACAAAAAGTAGAATGAAAATTATTGCTTGCTTTGGTAGAAAATTGAGAATAGGTATTTTTCGTTTTTTTCCTTCTCTTTTTTGTCTGCCTTTTATTCAAGTCTCTCCAAATAATCTCACATATTTTGTGATTGAGCAATGCAATATACTGACACGAGGTAAACGAAATCTCTGCGATTTCTTTTTATTTAAGTTTGAAGTTGTTTTGTTAGAGAAGATTAGACTAAAATAAATTGTAAGAAGCTAGGTGAAGCGATGAAATTTAAAATATAAATAGAAATCGTGTAAGAGTTCATGTCAGATATTTTATTTCAAGCTGTTGAATGATATGCATATGCAGTTTCAGTAGAAAACATGGATATTTATGCTCTAAGTATGAAAATTAATAAGAAAAATGAGAAATTTGCAGAGAATTTAAAGAGCGTGAGAAAAATAATTCTGAAGGCAAGAGGGTCACCGGCAATTTATTAATCAAAAGATTAGCAGAACTGTGGAATTGACTTATGTATTCATTCCATATATTCAGTCATGTCAAGCTGACTTTATTTATTTATATAATAAGTAATAAAACCACGCGTCTTGATTTTTATGAATTGAATTAATGACTTGATGTTTTGCGGTTATCATTTCATTTCCTTTATCAGACAACGCTTTTAAAGACCTTCAACGAAGAGCTAGTGAGCGAGTGTTTTCATACACATTGAATAGGATTCTTATCACACTTTGATTAATGTTCACATACAAAAATAGTCCAGATTTAATTTTCTCTTTTGAAACTTTTAATCACTTCATGCTCACCTATTTAAAATCTTCAATTTTATTATTTATCAAGCACAAAATCAGTTTTAATGTGTTTTATTTCACACGTACACAAAACTGCGCGTAGCTACGGTCTAAATCTTCACAAATATGAAAAGTGAAAGGATAACTAAGCCACAAAGCATTATTTCGACAACTTGAGAGTAACCTGTTGAATGCTCCGTTAAATATGTAGGCAACAATACTTTTGATATTTTATTTTCAAAGTTTTAACTATTAATAACTTTGTATTTTATTGTTCCTTTTCTTACACGAATATTTCCATGTAAGGGTCGTTAAACTTTCATTTGTAACGTTCAGACAGAAATGAAAAGCAGAATGAAAAATCATTTTACTATTTACTTCCTATATGCTTATTTAGGTTTTTAATAGGAAAAAATAAAAGAAGTCGATACTAACCTGAATAATATTAAACTTAAATTACGTACTTAACGGAGATATTTAGAATTAACTCGTACAAAAATCTCACGCTCATGCCGAAACGGTAACATCACAAAAAAAAAATTACACGTCTGCATTTTATGATTTCTTTTACCATATTTTGAAGTTATAATTAAGAACTTTATATTTATATAGAAGCAAAAAAAGATTATTCGACGTAAAACAGAAGCCAATGGTGTCTTGCGGTGAGACGTTTTATTTTCAGTTTTGCTTTTTCGTTTGGATATTCGTAAATCAATGCAGAACAAAAAGAAGAATAAATTTACGAGAATGCCCGAAAATGTTCCAAGATAAAATATTTAAACTCAAATTGATAAATACTGAAGTGCTTTCTCGTTTTTCTTGAAATAATAAGCGTTATGAAACATATTTTAACTAAATATTTAATTAAATTAAATTTAGATTAAATAAAGTTCTCTAAATTCACTAAACAAAAACTCATTCATTGAAACAAGATATGCAAAAAATATAAACTGACAATCAAAACATCATTAAGCATAATTAATAAAGGGAAATTTATATCTAATCTTTATGAGCAACGATTTTGCAGAATTGCCGTCTGCTATAATGACGCCTTTTAGATAACTAATGATGATAGTCAAATTCATTATAATTTCATAATATTAATGAAAAAGACATTTCAAATTATCTAGAATGGATTTGTTGTAGCATTTCTTAATCTTCGTCAGACACAAAAAGAAGAAAGATGCACCAGAGGAATAAAGACATTTATAAAGTTTGGAAAGGCTGAGAGACAATTGACAGCTTTTTAAGCATCTTTATAAGATTATCAACTGTTGTATAATTGCGACAAATATCTTCATGTTACCTCAAAACAAGCGACAGCTTCATTGCTTTGGGTTATCACGTAAGAATAAATTGAAGCAATGGATTCGAAGAAACAAAAATATTTCTTATTTTCTCATGTTGTTTTCAAGTTTGCTTTACATGAACGATTTACAACATAGATAATGGTTATAAAACATCTCAAGAGAAGACTTGTGCGCAAGAATCGGGAGGGTGAATGATACAAATGATTTGAAAACTCGAAGATTATTCTTACGTCTTACCTTTACTTTAAATATATAAAACAGCGGTAGGCTAAATAATATCATCGTTAACACACGAAAGAATGCCTTTTCTACAAAAGAAGACAAGAAATAATTTCAATAGACATTCCATTCGATCTCTAAAGAAAAAGAGAAGATAAAGACAGAAAAATTCCAAATAAATATGAATAGGAAGAATTTTATTTGATTTCATAAATGAACAATTGAAAGTGTTTTGAAAGGAGGATCAGATGAGTGTAATGATCCTCGTGGATAAAATTAATAACCCATAATTTGTTGTCCGTTTGTACAAGAGATATTGGAATTGCGTACAATGAGACTTTGTAAATAAATATTTTCTTTAAGAAGTATCTAATGAATAAAGGATTTAAGAATTGATTGTTTGGATTTTCAATGCCTTGTTTTAATACAGAAATAACATCTTTTTATAATATTTTATTCTTTTTTATATGCGCTTACACCTTAAACAACTTTTAATCAAACATACTTATGAGTTCCAACAGTAATTAAAATTTATTCTTTCACATTTATTCTTTTACAGTGCCTAATAACAGCAACCAAAGTTCACCGTCCCATGTTGCGAATGAGCTTTCCACTAATTCAACTGATCGAATAACTTCCAGACGTAACCTCCACTCGCTGTCAAATTTCATTGAGAACACGACAGAAACTTTCAGTTTCGAAAGTCGTCAACCGCCTCCATCATATTGGGCATCTTATGGAAATTATTTAAGACAAATAAATCCTCAAAGCGCCCCTCTACAAAGGCATCCGATAAGTGAATCTCAAAACAACAACAAAATTAATATTCGATCAAGAGTTGAACAATATCGTAATAGAATTTCATTATCTGAAAGTGAATCAGATGAAGATTGGGGAAGACGATCCAGAATTCTTTCACCACGAAGATCAAATCAAAATGTTATTAGAACTGAAGCGTCTTTAGGTAAATTTCTTAATATTTAAGGAAGTGAAATAAATTTTATTAGATAAAATAATTTCATTGAGGACAGATGATGACATTTTCTGCCCAGATATTGTACGAAATTGTAAGTCTTTACCAGTCGATAATGTTGATCGGGACTACAAGGAAACTGAAAACATTACTAATCAATTGAGCTTGCATAATGAGGTTGGTTTGCCAGGCATTACAGACAAATTAACACAGCTAGATATGGGTCATAACTTGAGTATCCGCCGACCGAAAATCTCACTCACTTGGGTACTTCGAGACCAGCAAAATCAACCGTCGTCTTCACAGCAAAAGAAATCACTCGATTGGAAACAAACTGAGAAGATTTTGTTCAGAAAGCCAAAAGAAAAGCTTTTTAGTGAAAAATATGTTAACGACAATAACGTGAAAGATGAACATGGAATGAAAGTAAGCGTCGATAATTTACAAGCTAATTTAAATGACGTGGCAAAAAGTGAGAGAGCAAGAAAATTTCGTGAAAAATTATGTGGACAACGTCGAAGTACTGAAAGTAATTACGATCAACTTGAAGTCTCTAAATCTAAATCGTTAAGTCAAGCTAATCTTTCCATAAAGAATACTTACTCAGAACCATCAATTTACATAACATCCGCTCAATCAGATAGCATGGCTTTAGGCAAACGATATCGTCGAAGACGAAAGCGATCACCAAAATTTGGTTACAACATCAAAAATGTCGATGACTTTCTTTCAAAGTGTTCACTCAGCAATCCTGCTAACATTCCAGTTGTTTTGTCGAACTCAAGCATTCTTTATCAAACACGTTCTGGTTATCATCAAATAGAAATTCCCCTTCCGCTTGGCATGGTTGTTAACTCAGTGTTTAAGAACCAGAATTGGCTTTACGTTCAAACACCGCATGGGGAAGAAGGATATGTAAATTTTAACGCTTGTTTGCCGCTGGGAATTATCCCTAATCATAAGTAAGATTAGTTAAAATTCAAATTTAATTTAATATTGATGAAGATTCTCTATTTCCACAGACCGAACTCATCAGTAAACAAACCGAAACCGTGTTGGGAATCTAATATTGATGTTTTTCCAAGCCCGTGTGGCAATTTAACAGATTCTGAAAAAGAAGTTCAACTACGAGGTGGCACAAGAAGTGAAGGCAGAAGAACACCAAAACTTAGGCGAAGTGATCAATCGTGGAGTGAAAAATATCTCGACAGTTTATATCTGAAAGCTGCAAGTCAACCAAAAACCATCGATCATTCGTATGCGCAACTGAAACCGACAAACATGTGTACATTGACAAATTACAATAATTTTGATAAACTCAATGGTGACTATGTTCAACTTAAACACAACCGTGACAAAATTAATCTAAATACGAGACGTCAAGTGCTTCTGGCAATTACTGAAAACTTTGCATCCGACATGATTCAAGTGATTGAAGGTGACATTGTTTCCCTCTTAGCTTACAAAGAATATCAAGAAAGTGGAGCATTACGTCAATGGTATTTCATTAGGAATAGTGAAGGTTTTGAAGGCTACATTCCAAGCAGTATCACCAACGAATTTTTATAAAAGAGTTTTCATAATTTTACATTTCATAAAAATTTATTATTCTTAGTGTAACCAAAAATTAAGCAAATAAAATTTAATTAATGATTCAAGAGTTCTTTGAATAAAAATTGAGAGTCGTGTCTTTGTACTTGAAGTTTGTTGAAACATCAATTTTATTACTTGCACCACAAGCTGTTAGAAATTTTCGGAATGGTGCTGTTTGCCATACGACAGAAAGAACACATGGACCTGATGTTTCAATTTCTGACATCACATCTCCTTTGAACGAATATTGGCATAGAATGTTTGACTCACCACCAACAAGGAGGTTGTCTTCTACAAATCCAGTAACGTGAATTTCTTTGGGGAAGTCAAAAATTTGGAAAGGTTGACGATTTCTAACGTGATAAAGTGCAAGACTTGGGCCTCCACCAGTTGCAACCCATTCGTTGTTGATGCTTGCTGAGCCAATCCATTTTCCATAAGTAGGGCGACTTATATTTGGTGTTTTGTGTGGTTCCAATGTGAATGACACATCTTTTTCACGGTGGTCCCAAAAGAAAACTGAACCATCTTCAGATGCAGTTACAACAAGTTTACCACTGTTAAAAAATAAATTATTATTTAATTCTGAGTTTAGGATGTGAAAAACTTTACTGTCCGTGAACCGAGTGGATGTAATCTTTCTGTCCGCTTAACTTTTTAATGACGAAACCGTCTTCGAGAGAGCAAACATAAATGCTTGATTCGCCACATGCAGCATAAATTCGATCGTTTTCTGAATCAACCCAAAGATCGTTTACTTCACTAACTTCATAAGATTCAATATTCACATTAAGTTGAATCGACCATGACTGTTTTAGAATTGCTCCAGAATCAGAAATTTGGTATCCATTAACACTTCCAGAAGATCCGACAATCAGAAAATCTCGATTGAAAGCAAGCGAGAAAACTTTTTCCTTACATTTATATATAGATATTGGATTTGAAATGTCATCATTGGTAATACTTTCAATACATGATGCTATTTTCTCAACACTATTTATAAAATTCACAATTCGTTAAATAATAAAATAAAGTTTATTTAATGCAACTTACGCAAAAGTAGCGATGTCGAAATGATTTGAAACTACAAACAAATATTTTCCATTAGAGGACAGAACTTGGCTTCGAAGTGTTGAATAAAGCTGTTTGTGAACGATATCCTTCATATTAAAATTGTTCTTTTACGATTTTATAAAACACAATTGAGAATTTGCCGGTCTGAAGGGGTAAGAATTTGTTAGGCGATTCTTAAGGGGTATAAATATTATCTGGTCTACCTAATATCTATCATAAAAATTGTCTGTTTAAAAACATCTTAAATCAGCGAAATATAAAAATTGTGTAGCCATACAGATATTACAAAACTATTTCAGACTGAAATATATAACAAATGAGTTCTCCGCATGATGTCAACAATTTTACTGAAGAAATTTCTTCAAATGTTTGTAGGTACGTACTTAAACATTTGTTTACATCTTCTATCGAGCAACTAATGAAACTATTTTTAATACTAATATTTACAGAATATGTTTGTTAAAAAGCAAAATCCTTAAATCAATGTTCCATTGCTCAGTTGGTTCTCAGACTTATGCAGATCTCTACAGAGTTTGTACAGGATATACAGTCAATGAAGGTCCTGACTTGCCATATAGAATCTGCAATGAATGCGAAAGAAAACTTCTCGATTTTCACAATTTCCGAGTTTCAATAGAAAGTATTGAAGAGCGTTTGCAAAGTCATCAATACTTTATAGATTCAAAAAATGATGAAACTGAATGGTTAGAAGATTATGATGAAGAGAAACTCAACGAAAACATTAATCCTGATGAGAACTGCGAGATAATTCAAACTGATACTTTAGACGACGAGGTAGTTTATTTAGAAGAAGTTATTGATCAAAATGAAGATGAATTTGTACAATATAATAGCGAGAACGAATTTGAACGGAAGAAAGAAGAAATTCTCAATAACACTGAATCCTTTTGTCGCTTTGCTTTCTCTGAAGGAAGTTCGAGTGAAGTTCAATGCCTAACATGCAGCAAAAATTGCGAACTTGAAAAATTCATTAATGAAGCGAATGGCGATGAAAGTTTAACAGTGATCTGTGAGTGTGAAAGAGCTTTTAGGAACAAAAAATTCTTTTTAAAACATTATTCTCAAAGACATTCTGCAAATGCTATAAACCATACTTGTGAAATATGTCATGAAGTATTCAAAAGCGTTCGCTCAAAAGCTGCTCATGATGCTTACATCCATAACATTGGCTACAAATTTGAATGTACAAGTTGTAAGAAAAAGTTTTATAGAAGTGATCACTTGAAGCAACATGAAAAATGTTGTAATAAATCAAAGAAGAAAACAAAATCTTTCTTCAAGTGTGACATTTGTCTATTAGCTTTTGAGCGAGAAGAAACATATAAAAAACATCTTAAATCAGCACATAATAATGTCAAAAACACAAATGAAGTGATACAACTTGTTGAAGCTTATGCAGAAAGATATTCAAATAATCGAAGTTGCGCGTCCGAAAGTGCGGCTTCAGAAGATGCTTCAATGAAAGTTCTTTGTTGTCATTGCAATAAAACATTTAAGAACGAAAATACATTAAATAAACATATAAATGTTTTCCATGGAAATCAAGTTTGGCCTTGTGAAAAGTGTGATGCAGTTTTTATTCATCGTTCGACGAGAATCTCTCACATGACTCTTGAGCATGGAGCTAGGAAACCTTTCGAATGCACCTACCGTAACTGTGACTTTTCATGCTTCAAAAGAGATCGCTTCAATGCTCACATTGACAAACACGAAAATCCTGATAAGAAGTTTTCATGCCCAATTTGCCAACAGGAATTTAATGGATACAACACAATGACCCTTCATCGTGCGAAACATTCTAAACAGAAAACTTTTGAATGTTCCATATGCAGCAAGCAGTTCCTTGATAAAAGAAATTTTAATGCTCATGTTAAGCTTCATACGGGTGAGAATCTTTTTCATTGTCCCGTCTGCACCAGAGGATTCAACCGTAAAGATCATCTACAGAAACATCAAAAGCGTAAAAATCATTTCGAGGATTTTAAATAATGAAGCAAGAATAATAAAAACAACTTTTTGTACAAATTAACTTAATTTTCTTTCTTTTATTAATTTTTGGAGGAAATAAGCTGATTTCTTAGGAACTCTTTCTTTTAGTGGGCTCGTTAAGTTCACAGAAAAAAGTCCAAATTTCTCAATAAATCCACGATTCCATTCGAAACTATCGAACAAACTCCAAGCAGTGTATCCAATAATATTACAACCATCGATGTTTATTGCCTTTGATAATTCCTTTAGATGTGCATTGATATATTCAATTCTTCCGTTATCTTCAAGTTCACCTTCATCACTCCAACCATTTTCAGTGATAAGAACGGGCGGATTATTATATTCGTCTTTTATCCAAACTAGAAGATCTCTTAAACCTTCTGGGACGTTATAAAGCCATGAGGATTTCGCACATTTCCACGTAGAGTTAACATCAATGAGACTGCGTGAATCTTTAAACCAGGCTGGTGATTCTAAGGGATCATGTTCTGTTTTATCGACACTTAATAATCGGCTTGTATAATAATTTAGTCCAAAAAAATCTGAAGATCCCCGAATAAAAGCTTTCTCTTGATTACTGAATTTTGGTAAACGAGAAAATGATCGCCCTTCAAGCTTACTTCTAATTTCAATCTCATTCACCATTACATTTGGATAGCCTCCACTTTCACTGAACAATGGATGAGCGAACCAACCAAGTCGATACTCTTGAGCCCTTTGAAGATCAAATTTGGTAACTGAAGAATTTTTTGGATAATAAAAGCGACTATCCAAAGTAATCCCGATCGATCCTTTTTGTTTCATGAAATATTTATTTTTGTAAAGATGATAAGCAGAAGCATGCGAGAGTAATAAATGATGGCCACAGAGATATTCTCCAACACCTCGTGAGACAATTCCTGGTGCCCACTCATTTGAACCATAACCGATGGTGCACAAATTGAATGGTTCATTTACAGTCATCCAGTTTTTTACTTTAGATCCAAAGTGATGAAACAAAACATCAGCATAAGCAGTAAAATAATCAACAAATATTGGATTTGTAAGCCCACCAAGATCTTGTAACCATTTTGGGATGTCCCAATGAAATATTGTAATCATCTGAAACCAGACGCAATGCTTTCAATTTATAACAAAACAAAAGAATGTCAATGTACCGGTTCTATTCCATTAGATATTAAAGTATCAATTAACTTTGTGTAATATCGAATTCCTTTATCATTAACGGCAGATCCATTTGGCAGAATTCTCGTCCATGACACGGAGAAGCGATAATGCTGAAACTTTGGAAAATATAAAATAAATACATCTTAGAATATCATCTTATCAATAAAAAATACTCCAATAAGTTTCAAAGCAGTCTTCTTTAATATGATGATACGAATCAATGCTAACATCTCCATTAGAATGATCGTCGACAGATTTCTCATGGAAATGAACAAAATCATCCCAAATTGAAGGGGATTTTCCATCTTCATTCCATGCACCTTCAATTTGATAAGCAGAAGAAGATGTTCCGATAAGAAAATCTTTAGGTAAGTTATAAATTGAATTATTTCTGGTAGGGCTCTTCACTTCACGTTCACGCAGAGATTTAAAGAAACCAACCACGAAAGTGAGAAAAGCTTTTTCTTCCCAACGGTCGAAATAAAATACAAATCCACCACATGTTATTGAAACAATAAGAAGACAAAATAAATTTCCCTTCATTTCCGATCTCTTTCTACTATTTCAGTTTGAAATTAAACTATCCCTAATCTAAGACAGCTAAGTCACTAATGAAACGCAAAATAAATCGCGATGCGATGATAAGAAATCGAAAACAAAGAACAAATCTGATGCAAACAATCATGATTATTTCCCCCTTGCTTCTTATGTTGTTACACATCTTTTTTGTTTATTTATAAATCGTAGTTGTTTGAACTTGAATTACTCACTCAAATACAGATACAAAGCTTGTTTAAAGCTTTTAAATGTTTTCACTTTCTCATGCTCCTGATAATTTCATCTTCTCAAACCTCTCCGCTAGTTTGTGTCGGTTTGTGCAACAAGAAAGATGTGGATTTTCACTTTCTTATCATTTTGCTTTTTTTTCTCTTGTGGACTTGGAACGCAATTTCCAGAGATTATCGAAATGGAAGCTGTCAGTACATCTGTTCATACATTTCCGAAAGATTTTTCATTTGGTGCATCAACTGCTGCTTATCAAATTGAAGGTGGATGGAATGAAGATGGAAAAGGTCCATCGATATGGGATACATTGACTCACACTCATCCAGAAATAATTGCCGATCATTCTACAGCAGATATTGGAGCAGATTCTTATCATTTATACAAAAAAGATGTCGAAGCATTAAAGAAAGTTGGAGTGAGAATTCAAATTTCTTTCTTATCTAAATTCTTATTCATTTTGTTCTCTTTGTTTTCCTTTTAGTTCCAACATTATCGGTTTTCAATTTCATGGTCAAGAATCTTCCCTTACGGTACAAAAATCAATGCTAAAGCTTTTGATTATTACAACAAATTAATAGATGAACTCATATTGAATCAAATTGAGCCGGTAAGTTGGCATTTTCGCTTCTTTTTATAAATTTAAATTTTCTTTTAACTTATTTAAAGGTTGTGACACTTCATCATTATGACCTACCTCAATGGGTTCAAGATGAAGGTGGGTTCTTAAATCCCAACGTCATCGAATATTTCAAACTTTATGCTGATACAATATTTCGTGAATTCGGTAGCCGTGTTAAAATGTGGATAACTTTCAATGAACCATTTGACGCATGCACTGAAGGATATGGACGTGGAGTATCTGCACCACTTATCAAGCTTTCTGGTGTTGGAGAATATATTTGTGGCCATTATTTATTGTTAGCTCATGCATCTGCTTATCATCTTTACAAGTCACGTTATGCCAAGGATCAACGGGGTATGATAGGAATTACATTAGATGGAAGATTCTACTACCCCAAAGATGCAACAGTAACAAATGACATTGTGGAACGTGCAATTCAATTTGACATTGGATGGTTTGCAAATCCTATTTTCAGTAAAGATGGCGGTTATCCGAAAGTGATGATTGATGAAATAAATGAGAGAAGTAAGAAAGAAGGTCAAGCTTGGTCTCGTCTTCCAAAAATGTCAAAAACCACAATGAAATATGTGAAAGGCACAGCTGATTTTCTTGGATATAATTATTACTCATCAAGACTTGTTCGACTTAACACATCAGACTTTGATCCTAATGCTGTACCAAGTTGGTTAAGCGATACACGATTGATTTATGAAACTGAACCATCATGGAAACAGGCAAAGTCTTCTTGGCTTTATAGTGTACCGCAAGGTCTTCACGATGTTTTGGTGTGGTTTAAAAATCAATACAACAATCCATTGGTTCTTATTACTGAAAATGGATGGAGTGATGATGGCCGATTGGACGATAATGATAGAATTGAGTACTTGAAATCACACTTAATATCAGTTTCAAAGGCAATCAACGAAGACAAATGCAATGTTATCGGCTACACAACGTGGAGTATCATTGATAATTTCGAGTGGACTCGAGGCTTTACAGAACATTTTGGGTTGTTCACTGTGAACTTGACGAGTCCCGAAAAAGAAAGAACAGCCAAAAAGTCAGCGGGATATTTTCATGACGTTATTAAAAACAGATCTGTTTGATTATCTTTGTGATTATTAAAGTTGTAAACATGACAATGCTGATAAAACTAAGAAGACATTTTAATTTATGTTTTCAATCACAATAATAAATGACTCGATAAACGATTTTTAATCAAACATTCACAGATTACTCTTATCATTTATTATTTAATATAATTACCTTAATTCGAAGTGGATGAGAATAACAATTTTCAAGTGCTTTTCAATACTTCAAAATAAAGTTTTTCGCTTTCTTGTCAGTCAAGCTCGTGACTTAATCTTAACTAAGTTAAGTGAATTTTGAAATCGCAATGTGGAGAATTTTGTTCATATTTGCATTTATTGCTGCTTGTGAAAGCTGCAGAGTTATTGAGCAAAAAGCAAATGGAATTGAAGTACCTCGATCGATGCACACATCACAAGTTCTTTTAGAAATTTTTGTAACCTATGATCAAAAATATTTGGCTTCTGGTGTTCTTATCAGCCCTGACTTTGTACTGTCCACATCACGAAGTCTCTTTGGATACCTTTTCATTAATGTTCACGTATATGCTTACAAATTGCGTGACGTTTTTGAAGACGAAAGAGAAATTTATCGGTCAACAAATGTGACTTTCCATCCTGACTACGATGGCAACAATTTTCTGAATGATGTTGCCCTTATACGTCTCCCAGTGACTTTAGATGTTGGAAACCGTCCATATTCTCTTGCAACACTTCCTGAAGCTTCTGATCTACTTCTTACTGGGACTGAAGGCAAACTAGTTGGATGGGGAATGTTAGACTATAAAGATGACAACGCAGCAGAATTCAAACATGAACAGACAATGACAGTTCTTTCAGATGAATATTGCCGACAAGCGTATCCTGGAAAATGGAATGAAATGAGTACATATGAAGGTCGTGTGTGTATTGTTAAACCGTTCGGAAAGAATTGCGTTAGTGATGTTGGGTCTCCATTCTTCATCGATGGTGTTCTATATGGATTGCAATCTTTTGGACAAAATGAAGCATGCGATGAAGCTTATCCTAATGGAATTCAAGAAATAAGACATCATCGTGATTGGATTTTATCAAACATAGCTTGAAGTTTTTCAAATAAATTTTAAAACTGTCTTCAAATACTTCAAAGTTTTCTATTTATTCTCTTGGAAATATTTTTAAATATTACAAAGTGAAGAATTGTAATCGTTTTGGAAGTAATGTAATTTTTATCGGCATTAACTCGTATGGTTCATTATCAATTGAGTAATAAACTTCTTTGCTATCGTCATGAACTGTTTCAGGAAGGAGAACGAGTGTTCTTGCCTGAAGCAATTTATTTTGTGGTATGTCAAGGTATCGACGATCCCGCACTCTTTTCCAACTATTCCAGATATATTCGAATCCATAATCATCTGATTTAACATTTAATTTTATGTTTAACTTAGAATCCTTATCTGGAATTCCTTCAGCAGTGTTTGTAGCGATAACGACTTCTGATGAATTGATGACTTCTTCATGAGTGGTGAGACAATCCGGATTTAGAATTTTTGAGTAGTCGGGAGCTTTTTCCGTAGCATTAAATTTAGACCACCAACGTGTGCTGTGTAGCCTTTGAGTTTTGCTTTCAACCTTTTCGTAGCAATTCGAACATCCGGCACATGGATCCGAGTAAATCATTTTCGCTTTACAATCCCATTGAACGTCTTTCCTTCCAAAACCGTTGAACAAGAAAGCAGTATAATTTCTGAGTGACCCAGTTACCCAGTATCGATCTTTTTTTCTTAAAATATCATTAAATGATCCCCAGATTAGACTACCAACAGCATAGAAAGGTTTTTTCGGTTCACTTTCAGTATTTTCATGGTCTGAAATTAATTGAATCTTCATTATGTCTTTTTGCTCAGTTTTTCCCTTAACAACAGAAAGTGCTGCTGTTGCCATTGATCTAACTTCGTCTACTTTATTCGTAGGAATTCCATCAGCATTAAAAAGCATTAAACTAAATTGATTGGTTTTTCCTACAGGAAGAACTCCAACAGGTGGAACTTTTGGATCATTTTCCGCCTTACGCAATAAACCTGTTACAGCTTCCGATATTGTGCCATCACCTCCAGCAATGACAATGGCGTCAGGATATTCGTTGAGTTCATCTTCAATCATACGAATCGCATGCTGATCAGATTGTGTTTTCTGAATTTCAACCTGAAATCCAGCGAGATGAAGAATCGGAGCACAAAATTTCTCGAAATTTTCCTCTGCTTTCCTTTTATTAGCTGCTGGATTAAGAATGACCAACACTTTCTTCATCGTAGCAGATGTTGGAACTTTCACATTACCATATTCTTTGGCTTCCATACAATATTTTCGCATAAGCTGATTAATTCTAAAATGTAAACATAAATAAATTTGCTATTTTTGTTTAATTATACGACTTACAAATATTTTTCACGGATATAATCTACAGCATATGCTCCTACTGAAAAGAAGAATATAGACTTTTTAGGATTTTTTCGTATCCATTTGAAGGTATTGATAATTCTCGACATTTCTAGCAGGAGAGAAATGTTTTGAAACACTTGCTCGCAAACAATTTCAACAAATACTTTTGTACCCCCGATAATCAGACAGTCGGACAAAAGAAAACCAGGAACTAACATTAGAAAAGTTAGCATTGGTTTTGTGAAACAAAAATTATTAGACATCAAAATAATAAAGTTTGATCAAAGAACGAAACTTTTTTTGCTATCTATTCAAAACAATAATATTAACATCGCATGTTTAACATAAAGAAGATTATTATTTTCCTATTGATGACTTTTAAAACTAAATTTGAAAATTTTTAATCAAACAAAAACAATTTTAGAATAAAAAATGGAAAACCTCGAAAACCTCGAGGAACAAATGCAAGTGGATAACATTGAAATTAAGGTCGAAGAGAAAAAATCTAACTTCTCATCGATTAGTCCATCAAATGGGGCGATTGTTCGTAGTGCTTCAGGAAATGCAAATGCAAAAGGTGACATCAAGAAACTTGTGATTAAAAACTTTAAAAGTAAGTTTCCATTACTGTATCTTCCGCAATAATCATGTGAAAACGAGATAAAAAATATTTGTTTTTCTTTAATTTCATTTCTAATCTTATTTTACAGCAAAACCGACTCTACCCGAAAATTATCAAGAGAAAACATGGGAAAAATTGAAGGAAGCTGTAATTGCCATTCAAACTTCAAAGCCAATTATTTACTGCTTAGAGGAACTTTATCAAGCAGTTGAAAACATGTGTAGTCATAAGATGGACTCACAGCTCTATGTAAATCTTACTGGATTAGCTGAAAATCATGTGAAATCCAACATCCGACCTTTCCTCGCTGAACGAATCGATAAACTGGTACGAATTTAATTAACGTAAAACTATTTAATATTTTCATTCTTTTCCTTCTACAGTTATACCTGAAAAAGGTGAATGAATGTTGGCAATCACATTGCCAACAGATGATTATGATTCGAAGTATTTTTCTATATTTGGATCGTACCTACGTCTTACAAAACCCAACCGTTCATTCAATTTGGTGAGTTTTAATTTGAAAAGATGTCTTGTTGAATTTTCAAATATTTATTTTTCTATTTAGGGATTTGGGCTTGGAATTATTTCGGGATCATATCGCTGTTAACAACACTGTCCAGTCAAGAACAGTTGAAGGGATTCTATTATTGATTGAAAAGGAAAGAAATGGCGAAACTGTCGATCGTACACTTCTAAAGAGTCTCTTGCGGATGTTCTCCGACTTACAGATCTATAAAGAAGCGTTCGAGCAGAAGTTTTTAGTTGCAACAAAGCATTTGTATCAAGCAGAGGGTCAGAAGAAGATGCAAGAATTTGATGTTTCAGAATATTTAAAACACGTTGATAAACGATTGACTGAAGAGAATGAACGTCTCTTACATTACTTGGATCAATGCACCAAACATCAACTTATTGTGACTGTTGAACGCCAACTTCTTGCCGAGCATATTCAAGGAATTCTTCAGAAAGGACTCGACCAACTGCTTGAAGAAAATCGAACAAATGATCTCATGCTGCTGTACTCATTATTCAATCGCGTTAAAAATGGAACAGTCGAGTTATGCTCATCATTTAATGCTTATATAAAGAAGAAAGGGAAAACTTTTGTCATCGATCCAGAAAAAGACAAAACAATGGTTCAAGATCTTCTCGATTTCAAAGACAAGATGGATAATGTTGTGACATTATGTTTCGAACGAAATGAAAAGTTTTCGAATAGTTTAAGAGAAGCTTTCGAATATTTTATTAATCAACGTTCAAATAAGCCAGCAGAATTGATAGCAAAATATGTTGACATGAAATTACGCGCTGGAAATAAAGAAGCAACTGAAGAAGAACTTGAACAGATCTTAGACAAAATTATGGTTCTCTTTCGTTTCATTCATGGAAAAGATGTTTTTGAAGCTTTCTACAAAAAGGATTTAGCAAAGCGATTGCTTGTGGGTAAGTCAGCAAGTGTCGATGCTGAAAAAAGTATGTTGTCGAAATTAAAGCAGGAATGTGGCGGAGGATTCACTTCAAAGCTTGAAGGAATGTTCAAAGACATGGAGCTGAGTAAAGATATAAACATAGCATTCAGACAATACATTGATGCTGGTGTCACCTCGAAAGACATAATTTCATTCAATAACATTGGCATTGATTTGACTGTAAGCATTCTGACGATGGGTTATTGGCCAACTTACCCCGTAATGGAAGTGAACATGCCGCCGGAACTCGTTGAGTACCAAAATGTTTTCACAAAATTCTATTTGAATAAGCATAGTGGGCGGAAACTTCAATGGCAACCAACACTAGGGCATTGCGTGCTTAAAGCTAAGTTTGATCAGGGACCGAAGGATCTTCAAGTGTCCTTATTTCAATCATTAGTTCTGCTTTTATTCAACGATTGCGATACAATGTCATTTGAAGAAATTATTCAAGCAACCAACATAGAGGTGAACCTCTCATTTTATTGTTTTTAATTACATTACATTTATCTGTAGTCTTCGCAGGATGGTGAATTACGTCGAACATTACAATCACTTGCATGTGGAAAAGCTCGTGTGCTTACAAAGATGCCAAAAAGTCGTGAGGTCGAAGATAAAGATAAATTCAAATTTAACAATGAATTCACTGCGAAGCTCTTTAGAATTAAAATTAATTCCATTCAAATGAAAGAGACGGTGAGTTGAATTACTTTTTCCCTTAGTTCACTTTGAAAATTGTTTTCCCTTTTAGAACGAAGAGCAGAAAGCGACTGAAGAAAGAGTTTATCAAGATCGACAATACCAAATTGATGCAGCTGTTGTGAGGATTATGAAAATGAGAAAAACTTTGAGTCACAATTTATTAATCAGTGAACTTTACAAGCAACTTTCATTTCCCGTCAAGGTAAAAAATGTTAAAATTAAATTTTAATATTCATGAAACTTTCTTTAAAGTCCAATGGAAGAATTTCTTTTTACGGAGGCCCACCTTTGGTGAGGTCACCGTATTGTATTCGACATTTTTTTTTGGAAAATTTTTTTTCAGTCGGAAGGTCCATGGACAGTCGGAAGGTCCATGGACAGACGGAAGGTCCATGGACAGTCGGAAGGTCCATGGACAGTCGGAAGGTCCATGGACAGTCGGAAACTCCACACCGGCCGGAGTAACTTAAAATTATGCGTTAGCATAATTTGAAGCTCCCCATGTGGAGCTTCCCCATATCCAATTTATTACTTTAAGTTCTAATTCTCAATTATTTCCTTCTTTCTTACAGCCGGCGGATTTGAAGAAACGAATTGAATCATTGATTGATCGTGATTATATGGAACGCGACAAAGATAATCAAAATCAGTACAATTATGTCGCTTAAACATTTCTTTTTTACTTTTTTTGTCATGAAGTTTTTAAGATTTTTTTCCATTAAACTCACTTCGTCCTTTTTGCTTTCATTCACATTGTTTTCTTTTGATCATATAAGATTATAGAGATTTTCAATAGCAAACTGAATAAACTTAAATCGTTAGGAAAAAATGGAGAGAAAGTAAATATGGGCAAAGAAATAAAAAAATGTGAATGCAATTTGGATGAAGAATAAAAAAAAATTAAATAAAAATTGTTTCGAAACAAGATAAAATATTTTTTAATTGTTTAATTTATTTTATAATGTCAAATGAATATCAACTCAGATATTTGCTCAATCACATTTCATTAAGATTTCGTGTTAAATTGATGTTCATCAATTTCATTAATTAAGTTTTCAGCAAGGTTTTGTGGCGAAACTTCTTTACCCAGGAAACGACCAACCAACTCTCTTGATGGAACTGATCCGCCATAAAATAAACAACCATAACGATATTTATCACCTTGCGACCGATTCAAAGGATCCTTCTGGAAGTATTCCTGCCAAATCCATGAAGCAATGGCTCGTGAACACAAATATGAATAATATTTAGCGCCATATCCTACAAGATGTGAGAAGCGAAGTTGCCATGCTGTGTTGTTGACATATGGAAGTCCATAATATTTTTCTTGAACCATTTTCAGTGTTTCAGTTGTGTTTTCTTTGTGATTTTTAGGATCGCCATGATAAACCTGATCAAGAGCTGAATAAAAAGCTTGAAGTTGTGTCTCACTTGCTGAAAAGACGTGCTTCGATGCACAAAGTCTTTCGAGCATTTCATCGGGCATTGGCTCTTGTGTTTGAAAATGTTTGGCGAAAGTCTTTAAAACACGAGAGTCACTTGAAAAATATTCCATGAGTACTGAAGGCACTTCAGCGAAATCAGTACTGCATCTTGTTCCAGTCACATGTTGATATTCAGTTCTAGCCAACATTGAATGCATTGCATGTCCCATTTCATGAAATAAATTATCAACCATAGAAGGTGTCAACAAAGTTGGATTCCATCTCGGCAGACTAAAATTAAGCATTACCACTACAATTGGATTTTGATATTCTCCATTTGGAAGTGACTTTCCACCTTGTATCGTAAAGTGACAATCTTGATTAGGTTTTCCAGTTCGTTCAAAGAAATCACAATAAATATGACCTAAAAGTTGTTCATTCTCATCAATAACACAAAGCTTATAAACGTCGTCTGCCCAACTTTCACCAGGACCCATTTCAACATTCTCCAAACGAATACCAAATAATGATTTCATTAAATTGTTAAATCCCTCCATGCAACCACCAAGACTAAAGTATGGCATAAATTCTGTTGCTTGTGATGATATCTGAAGATATTTGTTCTTCATTCTCGAAGTGAAGTATGGCGTGTCCCATGCTGCAAGAGGTGTATTGATGCCACCATCGGAAAGCTTCATTTGTTGCATAATCTCGAAATCTTTCTGTGCTCGTGGTCTTAATCTGTCGCTGAGAATGTCGAGAAATTCACCAACTACGTCAGGATGTTCTACAGTAGAAGCTTTCAAAGCTCTATGCGCGTAAGTTGGAAATCCACAGATTGTTGCTAAATCATGACGAGCTCGGATAAGTTCAGAAAGAAGAAGTTCTTGGTGTGAGTCTGGATACAGATATAAACGGTAAGCAGATTCTCTTGCTAAAGCGTTTGGAGAGTCAGCATATAATCCCGAAACAAGAATCTTATCACCGTCAATTGAAAACATGTGTCTGATATTTTCGGGAAGAATAGTCTTGGGTATCGAACGTGGATGAATAGCTCCTGACATGAAACGTTGACCAAGCTGAAGAATACACTCATTAAGATTCACGACCTGTTGCCGAAGATCTTCTTCCAAATGAATTCCGCACTGTTCGAAATCAAAGAGAAACAACTTTGCAACGTGCTCATCAATTGCTGTAGTTTCTACGATGTCACCATTATCAACCACTTTTTTAAGTGATTGAAATAGTTCTCGATGTGTGTTTAGCCTTTTGGAAAAACAAATTAGTTATTGTTATAATTTTTCTCATGTCTGGAAGTGATGTTAACTTACTTTTCGACAACACCACTGATTGAAATACAAGCATCTTCAGCTGCATGTGAAAATGTTCCTTGTGGATGACCAAGACGAATGAATTCTGATAAATCTGCAACTTTACATAATGTATCAGAAAGTTCATCGAAAATTTGGACTATTTTTCTATTTCTTGTTGATGAAATTGCTTCTGCGATTAGATCATCAGTTTTAAATATAGCCTGCTCTTTAAGGAAATAAAATCCTTCATGTGAAGTCAATTCGGGAATCCCAAAAAGGCCCTAATAGGGAAATATTAGTTGGCAAAATAAAATAAACAATGATTAGATATCTATAAAATTTTCATTTCTTACAACTGGTGCCTTTGTAAACTGAATTTTTTTACTAGGTCTTGTGTTGAACTCCAAGAAAAACTTGCTTGTGGAAACCCATCTTGATCCTATACATTTGATATGATGTGAACTTTTTATATAATTTTTAAGAATAGACATGTGAATTTAGTTGTTTCTTCACAAATGTTTACTTCAGAGGGTAGTCAATCCTTTTACCCAGGGGGTATATAGCTCTCTAGATCGATAGACAGACAGACATGAAATATTTTGACACTTGACAACTCGCTAACTTAATTTTAATAAATTCCAAAAATTCGTAAACATTAGAGTTTTAGCAACTTTAAATTTATTTATTTTAATAAATGAGGTAATTTTTATTTTAATGTCACAGTTAAATTTCAAACTTGCTTTAAGTCACTTAAATCTAGCTTGTTATTGAGTACTATTTTTTAGCATGATCACTCAAATATACTCTAATAAGCAATTTTACTAAAAACACATATTTGAAATGATTCATTTCACTTATTATTTCATCTATAATGTTTACATTGGAAAGTTTACCAAAATAACTGTTAAAGACGCATATAGATATTATAAAATCAAAAATGCTTTGCATATAAACTTAACATTTATCCTTGAACTTTGGGCTTGAGGCTTTTGTTTATTGACTAAATACCTTTACCTAACATTAATATATTATTTTAGTCTTTATTCGTTATTAACTAATTAACGCTGCATTTATATGAATAATGTCTGTGTATGGGGACTATAAACGTTTATCTCCCATCGAGTGAGTCCTGAATTCTGTTAATTTTAGAAATTGTTGAGTTTTTGCTAAATCTATTGTTTTTTATTTTTGTTACAGTGAGTTAAAATCACCGACTGTTCATTTAATACGAGAAATCTATGATGGTGAAAATGCTCATGATAACTTTATTTTGGATCTGGACAGAGCACTCGTCGAAAAATATGATTACATAATCGTTGAGCCTGCGAAAGTAGCCGACGAAACTAGTCGCTGGATAATAGTTGGAAATTGTTTGCACAAGACAGCAGTTCTCAGTGGAATTGCATCTACAGTATCAGGTTAATATTTACATTTTCATTCAATGTTTTTAATTTTAAAATTAATATTTTTTTTGAATAGCATTCGTCTGGCCAAGAAACATTGCCGCATGTGCTTCAGTTGGATTCGTATCGTTGTTTTGTTCGACACTATATGCAGTTAGTTGGGATACCGATCCTTGTGTGCAATACCAAATAGAAAAGAATCCAAAAAAGCTCCCAAGATTTCCCAATTTAAACGATTTCACTTCACCCGTAGTGCTTAAATACAAAAGCAACAAGAAGAAGAAATATTTTCATAGATCATTAACAACGATTGCAATTGGAGTTTGTGTTTTTAGAATATATGAGTTGCTAAAGTAGTCTGAAAATTTAATCGCATTTCAAAACTTTATGATGAGTTTACGGGGATAAGAATTCTATGTTATTAGCTATAATTAGACTGTTCGAGTTGAATTGTTTAATAAAATAGAATATGAAAGAAAAGATCTTTAAAGTAAATGTCTATGTCGGATGAGAAATGTCCATAGAGCACTGATTATCTTCTGTAAAACAAAATTATTGATATTGTTGAGAATCATTTTAATATTTTTTTGTAGCCTCTTTATGTTGTCATAAGTTTTTAGAAAGAAAAATAAATTTCAAAATGAGTAAATAGAATGCAGAAACATGTTAATTAAATACTTGATGAAAAATAAGAACATTTTCACAATAGATATATTTTTCTCAAAAAAAGAAACACAATTTTAAATGCTTCTGAAATATTTTATTTTTATCCGAAAAGTAACAAATTTAATCATTTACAGGGAAAAATTGAAATTTTTTAGTTTTGAATTTAGAGTTGCATAAAACTGTAGTAGTAAAAAGTGAAAGAAGTTAATTTTGTAAAAAAAAGGATAGAAGGTAAGTGAAGAAAAGTCTCAATCAAATTTAGAGACTGGGCGTTCGTTTTCCATGGTTGATCATCTCAAATTTTATTCGGCCTTCCACCATTACATTGATTTTGTGGAACGTCAATTGGAATGTTATATAAAATTTGGCCTCTTTTAGCTGTATTGAAAATAGTTTTATTAAAATATTAATGATATCAATAAAAATGAAGTTACTTGAGAGATAATAATCGTTGCATTCTATTGTGGCGTCTTTCAAGTTTCCAACATTACTTGTCTTAATTGAATCGATGTAGAAACAAGTTGACTTTTCAGATAAACTATCAAGATACACGTTGACTGTTGTTCCTCCATCACTCTGCTCTAATTTCTATCGTTTAATAAAAAATAAAATTAAAATTTTATTACAAGACAAGAATATCGAAAATTATTTTACTCTTATTATGACAGGATCTATTTCGGTGTCAGAATCATAAGTATAACCAGAAGGCAAAGTCATTTTCATAAGAGCCATGTTAGAAACTTCATCACCATCTCTTGGAATATAACTCAAACAAATGTATGATCGCAAGAAATTTGTGCATGAATTTACGAGCTCATGGGTAATTCGGAATCTTGGAGAAGCTTCTGCTTGAACTTCGTAGAAATTGCATGTC